CCACTACAGCCTTGCAGTCTTTATACTGATTATTTGCTGTTTTATTATTGATTTTATTGCTTTTTATTGTTGTTGTTTTTATTATCATGTTTTACATATTGTATTATTGTACAGTGTTGTACATTTTATCCTGGTGCTCCCGCCTCGATCCGTAGGGAGAGTCAGGAAAATTATTATTATTATTATTATTATTATTATTATTATTATTATTATTATTATTACTTAAATGCTTAATTTATGATCAATTAATCAATTACCTATTACACAAGATAAATATGGAATCAGCTATTTGATTAGTTATATATTACATGTCAGCCATAAATACAAATTCAGTAATATCTTCTGTTAAAGCTTATACTTTAAACTTACATTAAACTTGTCTAGTAATATTAAAAAGCAGATCAAATAATTAATTAAAATCTTTAAGTCAAGCCTGATCTAAAATTCCATTAACAGTTTATTCTTTATGAATAGATGCCAATATATTTCAGCAATGTGCCTTTTTGATTCTTGAATTAAAGTTTATATGCTTCTTCTCTTTGTCTCTGTGACCAAGCACCACCATGTATTGTTAGTTTTTCTGTGGATCCTATAATCTCCCTCAGATTCGTCTCTAGAATTCAAATCTTTGTGTTTAGAGCTTGCCTTTGGGCTGATGTTTGAGTTATCTACTACACACACACACAAACACACAATTAGACTTGCCATGCTACTAACAAAGACATTCTTCCCAGTCTTCATGAAATGCAGCCCATCTATAACCAGTAGTCTTCTCTCTAAGAAGTTAAAACCATGATCCCATAAGCCAAACCTCTCCTATCTACACCATCTACACAACCAGTCATTCACTTTTAGTATCTTCCTGTCTTTGGGTAGTTCCCTAACTTTCACTAGCAGAATTGACAAAATACAACCTGTGCCTCAAACCCCTTCAATTTCCTGACTATAGCTTCATAGTAAAGCTCAAAGATGTCCTTGACCATGTTGTTGATATCCATATAGAATCATAGAGTTGGAAGAGACCACAAGGGCCATCCAGTCCAATCCCCTGCCATGCAGGAACTCAAAATCAAACCATCCCCAACAGATGGCCATCCAGACTTTGTATAAAGACCTTCAAAGAAGGAGACTCCACCACACTCTGAGGGAGTGTGT